TTTAGATTAGTGTGTGAAAGTTGCAATTCCATGCTGATACAGGACTGGGGATGAAGGACTCTAAATTAGATTGATTATCGAATCCTTTCAGTTTCAATTAAAATTCTGTTAGACGGCCTTTAACTTGTTTTGGGACACTGTGAATCTGATGAAACTACGGGGGGGGGGGGGAGACATGTGATTCAGGTGGGATTTGAGGGAAGAGGAAAATCAGGTTTTGCGTAAAGAATGGGAAGCAGGAGTGAGGAGTCTTTATGAGAGGGAACAAGGGAGGCAGGACAAACGGCAGAAAGGCAGCAGATTGCACATCCCCAGGGAAGAGTGCCGTGGAAAAAAAAATACAGCCCACTCTCACTCCCCTTTCTGCATAAATCCTCCTTTACTCAAACTGCAACTTGGGAATAACATGAGTGTCTATATATGGCAGGCCAATTAGACCCGCAAGACTGATGCCTGGAACCCTAGTACATTCATTTGAACATTCATCTTCCCATCCCTCAGTAACTCAGATAAAATCTATACCAAAACCATCCATCCGTCCATTTTCTATACCCCTTGCACTATTCAGGGTCGTGGGGGTCTACAGCCTATCCCAGAGACTACAGGCGCAAGGCAGGGAATAACCCAGGTTGGGGTACCAACCCATTGCAGGGCATGCACAAACCTATACCAAAATCATGTCATCCAGTAAATTTCATTAGAGCCAGGAGTATAGACAATTGAAAAGCAAATTTCCAAAACTCACTCAGACCACGGGATACATTTCAGAAATTTTGTGTGGACATAATAGAAATGTAACAAAAGTTCTTCCTTGGATTGCATGAGCGACTGAATTTTGCATCCCAATCCCATCCCATATGATGAGGAAGTCTGACTTCATCTCAAACACAAAGAAAAAGTAACTGATTGAGTTTTGGAAATTCGCTGTTCAATTGTGAGAGTGTAGCTTAAACATGCCCTGTTCCATCATATTTCACAAGCCAGAACAGCCATCTCTTTCAAACCAAGCACAGATTTTCCACATAGCAGGGAACGGATAGGACTTTCATTAAAAGGACAGCTTTCCTTATTCTGTAGTGCTTTTTCAACTGCAGTGAAAAAAATAAAAATAAAATAACAAACGCAAAAGCACTATTCTGTTTTTTTCAAATGTAGAAATTGCTGACATGCTACTAATCTGGTTTCCCCTGGTCTGACCCAGGCTTCTGCTTACAAAAAAGGTGGCTGAGAACTTAAATAACATTACTCAAATTCAACTGGCACTGCTTCATTAATTTCACCTTTTATCTCCAATGAACACTAACCAGTGCTCATTGTAAGTGTTGAGTTAGCGTGTTAAATTTCAGAGCACCAGCTACTTCACTGCTGTCCTACATCATTTCCTTTGGAAGATTATTCTTGATCTGTCTCTGTCTGTTCAAAATCCTTGAGAATCTGAACCTGTGTACAGGCTGTGATCTGCTGTGATATCAGTTTCATCAAGATACTGCCGTACAGCACTGATTTGCTAAACTACTACACAGTAACAATCCCATTATGCGGTTATGTAGAGTAATCCCTCTTTTTGACCATCTGCATCTAACAGGATAACTAATCCTAAAGATATTTGGTTTGCATCCTAAAGATGAGTTTAATGCATCTGATAACTGCCTTACACACTTAAATATCGCTGATTAACTTGAAATTGGAGTAGACCGTGCAACATGATGGACCCACTTAAAATCATGGAAATCACTATTTTATGACTGATCATTTTATTACACTTTCATTCTCTCAATCACAAACCATTAAGACCAGTTTTGTTCTTTGAATCTCTTTTCAGTCTTTTAAAAATGTTACTTAGGTATAAATTAAAACAAGAAAATAAAACAGTTCAGAACAATCAGACACATCTCAATTCAAACTTTTAGAAACAGAGCTGAAATGTATTTATTTTCCAACTGGCTGATTAACTTTAAAGCTGTTTATACACCATAACAGATCTTACTACATTCAGGAAATAACTCCTGTCTTCATTCACCATGATTTTACTGAAGAAGCATAATATGCTACACCATTGACCTTAATACTGATGAAAATTGGTCTCAGACGAACTTCAGGTCTTTACTATTTTGATCAATCTTAACTGCCACAGTTTTACTGTTTGGACTGCACATAATATGCTATTCAGTATTACAAAAGAGTAGGCTACTTTTTCCACGTTTGCGTATACACAAACTTTATACACAGTATGAGGTGACTACGTTTTTAACTATATTCACAATTAGATACAGAGGAACTTATGGTCATTTTCAGTAGACAGGTATAGTATGCTATTGAGTATATATACAAGTATAGTCTAAGTTATATTTTTAAAGGCCCATCATCCACCATTGAGTGTGTGTGAGTTTATGCCGCAGATGAGAGTCCTATCGCGTCCGGTGTTCTGACAAGTTGACTACCTATCGAGACGTGCTATCGAGCCTTTCTGCGCATGTGCAGTTCCTCCGTTTTGAGATTAGGATTAGGTTTTAGGGTTAGGGTAAGGGTTTTATGGTTTTTGGGGGTTAGGGTTAGGGTAAGGGTTTTAGGGTTTTTTGGGGGTTATGGTTAGCCCTAACTCGACAAAGTAGCTGAACTCGTCACAACACCGGCCGTCCGCGTCGCTCTTGGGCCACTTGCGCCCGGAGCCTGTGTCATCAGCACGCAATACTAATGTTACAAATGTGCAGATATTAATGTGGGAATTGTGCCGACTTTTCGATGCATATAAAACCGTATGCGGCGCCTTAGATTGACCATAAAAGGGCTTTAATTTGAAGTCCTATTTTGTTATAATTAGCTCAAATCCGCTTGATATTTTAATTGGATTTGAGGGTAACAGGCAGCGATTGAGCTATAATTAGCAGTTTTATTTCCGGGGTAAACAGTATAGAACGCGAGCTAAAGTAGGCGTCCTGTAGAAGCTCATGTTCCAGTTTGGCGCATTGAATTGGGATTAGCGGGCGTCTACTATTTGGTTTCTAGAGTCAAGTTGGTGTTTATGCATTTATCACAGAGTGGATTTAGAGAGCTTTATCATAGACAACGTGGTCCTAGATCTCATTTCTACACCCGAGCCACCTCACAGATGACACATTTTACCAAAAAAATATGAACACCATAAGACATGGAAGGATAGATTCACGGCAAACGGACCAGCTGGGGTCACAGTAGAAGGAATGCGAGTTAGACATGAGTATACGGTCTACATCACGCCAGCTTCTTTAGCTGCAATGCAGACAGAAAACGTACGTGTAGGAAAAGGAGAGGAAGAACAGAGAGATGCGGAAACATGATAGAGGAATGGAGACGATGCATCTCTAGACCGATGTGATACTTAGTAAAACGTGACTAATTTATGATTAACCATTTAACGCCTGCCGTATTATCGGTACCAAAACAATCACCAAACGTGAAACGAGTAGGCCTATATAGTTCTTATTTTATCCCAGATAATCCATCTTTTGAACATGTTCATGTAGTTTAAAACGCGACAATTGTCATCCGTTCTTCCCAGAAAAGACCAGGTTAACCTCTCCGATCTGATCGATGACACGTAAGATCACCCCTCACTCCCCCTCCGTCTAAATCCGAGATGCTCATGAAAACAAATCACGCTTACCAGCTGGGAATCCGTATGATTAAACTCAAAACTAACATGAAATAACATACGAACTGGTAAAGTCACATGTCATTTAGACTGCATAATAATATCCTATAAGAATGCTTGCAGGTTTGTAGCTTGCTACCTACCACTGCCTTTGACATCCATGCGTCCTTTATCCAACTTATTCTTGTCTGCGCCGACAATGACCGAAACAATATCACGCCACAATAAGACAATGTTAATCTTAATGCTCGTTAAGATAATAAGTTATAAAGGAACCACAGACCAATGTCTTATTGTAAATAAATGAATTGAAATACTGAGAACATAAAAACGGCAGAAAATAGATTACAACGCAAATGCGCAGCCCTCCTTCAGTTTTTTTGTAATAAGGTGTATCATTTTAAAACAGCAAATACCACATAAGTAGGACTCACCTCTTCTCTCCCATTGCCATTCATCGTTGGCGATTCCTCAGCCATGGTCAGTCCCTGAATCCCCCCTCGTCCCCGGACACGTTACACTCCGGTTCGCGCCCCGTCAGCACCGGAGAGCGGCCCAAAGCTCGCACAACCTGGCGGCCGCGTCGGGACCCCTTGGCCGCATAAGTCACCCCATCTGCATCCGGCTCCGCTCCAGTTCTCCGAGAGCAGCGGCCGCGGCCAGCACGCATTATCCTAAGCGAAATACGCCTCTCCTTCACCCTCCCTTCCCTCTGTCCGTGTCCAGTCCGAAGTCGCACACCCTTTCCCCCCACGTCTTTCCCACCGCCTCTGATGTCAAGGAGAAATCCAGTTCAGCTGCTGATGGGTGAGAATGCGCCTCCAGTATCGCCACAGCTCAGTGACGTGCAGGTACGGCAGCGTACCTCCTCAGCACAACGTCAAAGACCAGTTATGGAGCTGGTGTGATGTGAAGATGCTTGCGGGGCGCTCAATACGGATTTTCGAATGGGGGGGGGGGGGGTTCACTGTCCGGTTTCTCACATCGCTTGAAGCAGATACAGATAAAGAGATAAGAGGAGTCGGCGAGTCACCGGGAACGTGTCCATTCTGGGGAGATCCGCCTTTTGTGTAGGGACTTTTCACCTACGCGCTGTTCTTGCAAGGGTTCCCACTGACGTCACCCACCTGAGGACACAAAGACGCGAGCCGTCCGTCCCTCAGGGCACTTCGCGGGGCTCTTGGTAAACAGACATGAGAAAGCCGAATTGGTTCGGCAGCCAGCATCTGATACGCAGCACGACGGGCTCCGCACCGCAGGAGTATTAAATCAACACCGCCTCTTAAAGACGACGGCACTTTGCTTCAGATGCTTCAATAAAAATTAAACGGTTTAAGCAAATTATCGGCGAGGAAAGAAACCATTTCTTCTGGGGTTTAATAGATTTTTTTATTACTATAAAAACATCTACAAAAAATTCTTTGTATTACAATGATTGGTGCATTAAACTGCTACACATGACAATATCACAGGGAGACAGCTTATTGTGCGTTAAAGGCAAAATTAGCCAAACTATGAGAGGGCTCCTGGGGTAGAGTACAGCTGGTAGATGGTGCGGCTCAGGGCAGGTCCGATGTTCCTGAGGGGAAAGCGATTGGATAAACACCTGCTTCCAAAACATTACACATACATGTGACGTCGCCAATAACCCCCAATGTCTTTATGCAGGAGAGCCTACCGTGTGTAGCTTAGATACAATACACTGGTACAGGCAAACTTATGCATATGGACCGACCTTTTTAATTTTCCGTATCTTACAGAGGAGAGGAGCTTCTCTCGGTCTGCATCACTGGAACACTGTTCATAGGCTTGTAGCAGACTGGAAAATACAGAGGATATGAAGTAAATGATTTATTCATATCGAGACAGACTCCTATTTTTAAAAAGCGATACTGAAATCAGCCTTTCATATAGGACATTTACAGTAGTTACAATGAATACCATTTTAAAATCTTAAAAAGCTTTCATATTTAAAACAAAATATGTAAAACAAAGGCACCATTTATTTGTGAGTTTATGAGCGACAGACATCTTGCTAAAAGTGTTTCTCCAGCTGAGAGCAGCTTCTACCAGATGGATTAATGCACATTGGTACACAATCTCTGGAGAGTCACAGTGCTGATGGTAACCAGCATGAAAAAGCACTAAGAGCATACGTTTTTTGTGCATAGTCTCCAATATACCTGTAAATTATATTTTAATTGTAGTTTTATTAACGGCTGAACTTAAAGCACCTGCTTTCTAAAGCTGACAGTTGCAATGACTACATAATTTAATTTCCTACCTTGTCAGAAAAAAAGAGTACAACATTGGTACGGTTTTGTAACCAAAGGTACAAACAACAGTAATGTACCCCCAATGGTACAAATATGTTCCTCAAGACGTAGATTTACCTACTGCTAAGGTATAATTGGCAAACCCTTGAGGGTACAGCCCTGTTGACAGGTAATTGTACCCTTAAAGGTACAAATTGGTACTTTTTCTGACAGTGATTTGTTGGCAAGCACCATGTTAAAAATTAATGCAGGAATTCATTTTAAAAGCAACTCAGAGGAGCAGTTTTGGGTAGTCCGTCCACAGGCTATTTTAAATACATACTAGATGCAGATGACCACTGTACGTCTATGGAAAAGCATGTGTGTTGCAGGAGATTGCATGTAAACAACAGGCATGTAAACGACAGCAGGTGAAAGTTACACGTTAAGAAGCTCAATGTGTTACCTACTGTCAAATGTATTTACAGTGCATGGTTATATATCCAGAGACCGCGCAGATAACATGACATCTGTAAGCCGTTCCTACTCACAGGCTGATGTCCACCAGACACATATGAAATTAAGTTTGTTAATTATAAGACCTAAGGGTCCTGGACCTTGGACACGCTTCCTGAAGGGGTCAAACACCAGTTAAGGTTTATGGGACTATACATTTATGTGCTAAAGATATATTCAATATACTTTTATTTTGCCAAAATATATTGTCTGGAGTGAATGACACCTTACATTTAACATTGAAAATTAGATGAGAATTCACCAGGCTTCAGACCTGATCAGATTCACCACTAATTCTCCCATGCATTAATATGATTATCATCTGGTCACTTTCCCCCAACACACAGGTAGATCAGGAGTGACAAGAGCAACCTGACATCTATGTCAATGTTGTCTCTTGTTTAAGTTACAGAAGGGTCAAATATAATGCTTTTTGCAACAGAATTCATTTTCAGCAAAATACACCTTCGGTTGTTTTCTGTGTACAACCTGTAGAGGTTTACACAGCAATTTATCCCAGGGAAGGACACCTGTCAAGCCTGGAATTTAGAGTTTAGAGCTATAGTATCCTATCATCAGACTGCTAAACAGATTAGCTTTATTTAATAAATACACTGTATGCTTAGGTGAAAAAGCTGCTGCCAAAAATGTTTTTGGAGGCCCAGTAGAGGCACAATATTTGCCAGGTAACTTACACATTTATAGCAAATTTTATTAGCAAAAACAAAGTGTACCGTACACACACACACGTTTGTATCCATATATACGTGAGGACTCGCCATTCATTTCTATGGAGAAAATCCCTAATCCCAACAATCCTTAACCCCTACCCAGCCCTAACCTTAACCATAAGTAAGCAAATTACAAAACTTTAGGCATATTTACTTTTTTTGATTGCAGTCACAGATTTTTATATAATTTGAGGTTTATATTGTGGGGACATAAAAAAAGCTAAAAAGTAACAGAATTTACCACATTGTGGTAAATACAAACCCACACACACAGATATGAGTGATGTGGCACAATTAGGCTTTTCTGCACCACCAAGTGGTGACACTGAACTTCTCCACTTCCCCATATAAAACCCCATGTCAATGTACGCAGTATAAATAATACAAAACGCATAAAATGGTGATGACTCCTAATCAGCACGGCACACCAGAAAACAAATGAACCACAGGAAAATGGCAAGAGAAATTTTATTCAACCAGGACTGAAGTTAATCTGACAAATAACTTCATATACGTCCGACATGTGGGTAACCGAAACTGAAACTAAAGCAATGCTAAGACGATATGAACGATACAGTACTGTGCAAAGGTCTTCGGCAGGCAAAGACAACGTTTAAGGCTGTATACCTGGGTAGTAAACTTATATTTGCTCAGAAAAAAAACACCTTGTTGGATGGTTAGAAGACCTTCACTGTGGTTCCCAAACTTCTACTTGTGGGCACTTCAGCCACTCCATTTACTTGTTAAAATTTCACCTACAGCTCTTAATTAACTTAACTAGTTAAACAATACAATGAGGTACTGATCTGCTAAACGTGGTGTGCTTGTGGTCCGTGGGTATATTGAACGGTTGCTGAAAATACTGAGGTGACTTTCAGAGTGGCTTTTCAACAGCTAAGCAGACACATTTTGACAGAGGGCCAGCTCTGGAAAAAATAAAATAAAATAGTGACCACAGCAAAATTTTCAATTTCACTCATTTCTCAATTTATAGCCATGCACCTGTGTAAAATAAACATTTTCTGCAAACTCCAGTCTGGCTCTTCCCTGCTTCTCATTCATGAAGAGCTTCTTCCTTGCTTCTAGGAGCCTGATACAAACTGTCCTAGCAGTGCACTTCACACCACTTAATGTTTCCTATTATTTTTGAAGGTCACTTGAGGTCATCCTCTGATTTATGAGGCACTGCCGCATAAGTTGACAGTCATCTATGCCATTAGAAAGTTGCTTCTGCCCTCTAGCTGGCTGGTCTTTGGTCACTCCCAGTGTCTCCTGCTTCCCTTGTTCTTGTGTACTGCTGTCTTACAAACTGAGCCTGGAAGCAGCCTCTGCCTCGCAGTGTAACCTTCTGCCAGCAGAACCAGGATTAAGCCAGGATTTAAAAATACAGATTTTTTAAAAATATAGTCTCATTTTTTCTAGAGCTGTACAATCAGTTTACCAACATGAAGATCATTTAGACATAATTTTCTTTTACTGCCTAAGACTTTTGCACAGTGCTGTATGAGAGAAATGAGGAATGGATTGAATGAAAAAAAGCAATCAAATCAGCATGCAGTCAGCCTTTGGTTTATCTAGTGAGCTTCACCTTTGGCCCTAGAGCAGGGTTTCTCAACCCGGTCCTCGGGGACCACCAGACGGTCCATGTTTTTGCTCTCTCCCAATTCCCTGCCAATTGGGAGAGAGCAAAAACGTGGACCGTCTGGTGGTCCCCAAGGACTGGGTTGAGAAACCTTGCCCTAGAGGACAGCGGGTGATGGACATTTTGCTCACCTGCTCACAGTGCCGTAGTGCTCCAGAATGGCTGCAGCTTTGTCACCAGACACACCGCTGATCTGCATTAGCTGCCTGGCAAACACCTCCCTCACGGTCTGGCACTGAGACACACACACAGGGAGGGTCAACGACCACGACTGGCCGAATCGCCTGTGAGATTTACACCTCTTAACTGCTGCCCTTCTCAGTCAGAAATACACAGAAATGACCCTTAACCAGACAGAAGCAGCATCTCAGGATGTATGGGAAAGGGAGACATGCCACAATGGACAGAACATTAGCAGCGCTACAGACAGCAAGCTCACATAGGCTAAGGAACCAAAGTCAAACCTTATTTTTAACAGCTCCTTCATTGAACTCGGCAAAGGAAAGCAGAGAGCATGCTGGGTCCTCCTGGCCTCTCTCCTTCCCCAAACACACCCTCTCACTTGCCCCTTTTTCCTCTTCCTCCTTCTCCTTCGGCCGGCAGACTAGAGTCTTGTTCTGTGTCAGAAATAAAGACACACAGCAGAATATGACCGACCCCTCACTGAAGGACACTGCCCAGGCACTGAGCAGGCCGAGTGAGGCAGTATCTCAGTACAGGTGCTCCTCCACTTATGATGGGTTTACATTCAGATGAACCCATCACAAGTGGAAAATACGGTAAGTTGAATATAAGTAAATAACTACTGTCACTGAATTAAAACAAATTACTGTAACTAACCAAGTACCAGTAATTGTAGTGATCACAGACAGATAGGGTGGCTGGGTGGATGCTGTCATTGCCCAGCATATCGCTATAGTCTAAGAGCAGATCAAATTCAGAAAGTTGACTACTGAGTGTACAATGTTGTTATGCCACAGTAAAGTTGAAATATTGTAAGCTGAGCCATTGTAAAGCAAGGAGCATTTGTATTCCACTCCACTGGGGGTGTGAGACAGAACCATCTGTGAGTCTGGCCATACGTAATAAGCCTCAGTGGAAAAATATTCTATTGAGTGTTTAAGGTTCGAGTGGAGCCTGCTTTCATGTGTGTGCAGTGCAGCTTGTGAAACTCACTTGGTACAGCTTCTGCAGGTACCTCGTCATAATGGTGAGGTAAGCTGCCGACTCCCTCACGTCCTGCACCCTCTTCACAAAGAAGCCGTCCACCACCTGCGAGACAGACATTCTGATACTCTGGCATCTTTTAAGAACCCAGTACATCTGCCACGTGTCACTGAGGATCCCAGCAGGGTTAGCACAATTTCACAAGCAAAAAGACTTTTACGGTTTGTAGACAGTGGTGGTGGGGATGGGGGCACAAGAGGCTAATTTGTCAGTTAAGGGAGAAATGAAAATGACTCCCAGGATCCCTTCAAAGAAGGTAATTGAGTACTAGGCTTGGCTGGTATTACAGCAGCAAAAATACTGCAGCATTTCAAAATCTTGGCGACAAAATCAGCTCAGCAAATTATATCGTGGGGACCCCACTACATAGAAAATTACCGGACTAGCACTGCTTCTGAAAATAACATAAAAATACCAAATACTGCATTATAATGTCTTGACCGTATTACATTTACTTATATTTGGCAGATGTTTTTGTCCAAAGTGACGTACAAGTGAGGCAAACGGCACATTACAAACAAATATGCTGTTGAGGAGGCGACTAGGCATAAGTGCAGCTAGAGTGAGCTTCCAACGTACGGCCAGTTACAAGTGCAAGCGGTTCTGGAGCTGGAGCTACACAACAACTTCTACCAAAGCAAGAACATAAGATTACTCAATGACCAGAAGTGTAACATTAAGAACATTCAGAGAACATACAGAAGCATCAGGCTAGTAGAGTAATTCCCGGAACAGATGGGTCCTGAGGCATTCAGTATCACAGTGTGAAAAATAGAATAGTGCCCAAGCATAAAAGTGGCCTTATGTTTCAAACGACATCTGGACAAAACGACAATGGAACAGATCTGCAAGAACAATTTGCTGAATACTTTACACATCACTTTCTTCGTTCTGTCACGCCACAACACTAGAAGGCGCAAAATGTTTTCCATGCAGCAGACCCACATAGAGAACAGAAATAAACATATTGTAGTGCCGGTGAGATGGCCCCGCATAGCAGAGCCCATTTGTGTATCCCAACATGCTCATGAACCATGTAAACAGCCCTGTGTATGTCTTGTTATAAATATCTGTCTGTGTTTTAGTGTAAATAGCTGCTGTGCTCCCGGATGTTGTGTGGACCCTCACCCGTGTTGTATGTGTAATCTTGACGTTTCTCTAGCTGCTGTGTAATTACCCACCGTGTGTGTGCGCCTTACCACCTACTGTGTAAACGCCCTGCGTTTCCCTGCCATGTTATCGGAGTGTCATTGTTCTTGTGTGTGGTCCTTTTAAGGGCTGCATAAAAGAACAGCAGGAGGAGTGGAGACTGCAAGACGAGCTGGAGGAGTAGCACAACCTGTGTCAGTGGCATCTGGAGCCATTGCATGAGGCCTTCCTATCCAGAATGCAGGGGGAGCAGCAGGTTCTCTCACAGCCATGCAAGGGGAAGGGTCGACACCAGGAGGGACCTGCCATGCCAGTGCCCACCAGCAGCTCGGTGCCCACCAGCCTCCCAGTCTCCTCAGCATCACTAGCCCTCGCGAGTAGACTGCTCCCCCCATCATCGAAGACGCACCGACGACTGCCACCAGACCTTTGGGGACTGGGGACTGGGTGTAGCGGTCAATGGGATGGCTGACCTTTGGGGGGGGAGATGGCTCTATGTAGCCCAGCCCATTTGCTTATCCTAGCATGCTCACAAGCCATGTAAACAGCCCTGTGTATGACTTGTTATAAATAGCTGTCTGTATTTTAGTGTAAACACCTGTTGTGATCCTGGTTGTCTCATGTACCCTGACCTGTGTTGTATGTATAATCCTGACATGTCTCTAGCTTCTGTGTAGTTACTCACCGTGTGTGTGCCTTACCACCTACTGTGTAACCTTCCCTCGTTTCCCTGGCATGTTGTCGGAGTGTCGTTAATGCTCGTGTGCGGTCCTTTAAAAGGCTACATAAAAGAGCAGCTTTGTGCAAAACCATCTCGCCTCATCTCCTGTGTAACGTAAGCGGCACACCTGTGTGTTTACGATGGCCTGCTGCAGCGTGCTCTCCGGTAAGCTCAGGTGGGCGGCCGCAGATCCGCACTCCTCCACCAGGTACACAGGTCGCCGCAGGCCGCACCTCTTAAGCCGGAACTGGAAGCAAAAGGCAGTGAAAGCTGCAGTACACTGCTATTCCTATCCATACTGCACCAGCCGCCGAACCGCGTTACCTTCTGCTCCCTAAAACGCCCGTCGATGATGCTGCCGCACAGGTCGTCGATCCGCTTCCGCTCTATCACGTAATCGAGGACCAGCTCTCTGGCCGGGGGTGGCCGCAGGTGACCTGGAGGAGGGGCAGGAGGACGATCTCACAGGCAGCTACAAGCTTATTCAATCCAATCCACAAAGGAGGAACTGGGGTTAGATAGGACAGTCACAGGGGGTACTGGTCCCTCAAGCTGGCCCTGGACAGAATTACAAAGGGCTGGTCACCTGTCCAGTATTAATTTAAAAAGGCATGACTGAGGTGTTTATTGAATGAAGGGCAGCACTGAAATCAAGTCAATAATAGCAATACTTGGGGTTTGTGTTTAAGTTTTTCCTAGTAATACCTGTTTTGAGAAATTACTTTTACCACAATTGAACCATATATACCGTACACTAGGAGGCATAATAGATATCTTAAAATGACATCAATGTACAAAAGAAATGACTAAGAACTTTATATGGGTCAAGTGATTATCATCAGTGATGTCCCAACCCGATATCACAGCAACCGAGGGAAATGCCCCTGGTAGGGAGGGGGGGGGG